TGCATTTTTGTTCTATTGTTAGTAATTTTCTTGCTCAAGCAAAACACAATTATGTGAACAGAGTCTGCTAAGTTTTTTTTTTTTGGTGGTTGAGTTTACATCATCTTGGAAATTAAAACTACATAAACTCATATAGACCTTGGACTTGGAGCTCTGGTAATTGTGTATTTGACCTTAGGAATTCGATAGGTATCTGAACAAAGAGGCAAAATAATTGGTTATATGCTATCACTTAGTTAATTGATATCCTCAAAATTGATTATTTTGTAACCTTTTCTTTGAATGACTTCTTTCTTCCTTTTGATTCCGGCTGATCACTTTTAACTAGTCTTCTTTTTGGTTAATGTTCTAACAAGCAATACCTAAGTTTGTCCTACCTCCTTTTTGTATAATTATTGAGCTTAGGAGTCTTCTGATGTGCATAACAGGTGAAGGAGAATATGAGGTAGAAGCAGATGTAGTTTCTAAAACTGCCAGTGACAATCAAGATTTAGTAGTCTAGGTTTGACCACAAGGGAGATAAATAGTGGCTAGCTCATGTAGGATCAATTTCGTGTTGATTAAGTTTTTACCGCCATACATTGTGAAAATGAGATGACATTTTGTTCTTCTCAGTAAGACTATTTAGTACTTCAAGGATCTGATTACTAATGTCGATTGAACTTAGAAGAGGTGATTGAGGAGATGAACAATGCCATAATCACTAATTAGTAATTTTAGTTTCAAATACTCGATAGTTATCAAGTACTTTTATAACATAGTTTATGGCCGTAGTAGTGCTGATAGAACTCTCTATGATTTGATTTTGATTAAATAGGATCTGGGCACCCTCGCCCATTTTTTTTCCGAGTAACGATAACAATTGACTAGACCAAAGGGGTGCTTTGGCACCACTCTTGAATTTTTTTCGCTGCAGGTGAGATTTGAACTCCCACCTATAATCCAAGAAGGGACTTAGGTGGCATTTGGTTCACACCTTGGAATCAGATTTGGATTCGGGATCATTCATTCTGGATTTGGAATGAGATGAATCATTCCAATATATTGTGCTTGGTACAAAATCCATTGGAATGGGACTCAAAATTAATTTTTTGTTTTCCTTGAGCACTTTTTTGGTTTTTCATTCTCCAATCACCAATCAACAGCATAAACTCCCAAATAGAAGATTTGGCAAGTTCGTCTTTACCTTTCTCCTTGCCAATAGTTGGCACTTGGAACATAAGAGTAGAAAAATCCAAAAATTATCCTAGGAACCAAATAGCAATTTCCGTCCTCCATCGAGATTCAATCTCCAGCAGCCCCAATATTGTCCACCTAGTGCCACAACTCATTGTTGCTATGAGCCATCACTTTGATTTCACAAGGAGAAGGAAGAAGTCAATTGGGGTAAGGATTGGGGATGACTTGACAGTGAGTGAGGAGAAGTGGTGTCTTGAAGGGAAGACTGGTCAATATTAAAGGTGGATGGAGGACGAGAAATCTGAGGGAGAAGGGGCCTACTAGAGTTGAGAAGAGAGGGGAATTTTTGGAGGAGAGAAGGAATGGGCTTACTGGGGGTGAAGGGGGGGAGGTTTTGCCTTCCATGGAAGAGAGAGGCGGGGGAAGAGAGGAAAGGGAGGAGGAAGGAGACAGTCAGAGATGAGAGAAGGGAAGGTGATCGATCAAAAACAAGGTTTAATAAAACTTATTTTGGAATCAGATAGAGGATTTGACAAAACCTCCCAACTTGCTCGGGATTGAAAGTTACCAAGTTTTTAGAAATCATTTCAAAATTTCAAACCCCATACCTATTTGCCAAACATAAAAATTGGACATGATTCCAAATCTTAATTTTCATACCCTTAAACCAAACGCCACCTTAAATCTCTTTTTTATGGCCACTAAACCAAGTTCAGTGGTTCACCCTCGCTTATTGAGCGAGTGTGAGAGCCCGTAATTTTTCCATTTTAGGGTTTTATTATATTCAATGGCTTGTTTTCTGCACTTTCTGTATCCGGAAAATTTTCTAGATAATTTTTATGAGCAGATATAGTTTTTAGATGATTTTTCTAGTATCGAATAGGTTTTGAGAAATTAAGAGCGTATACCGGACGTGGGACCACTAGTGTGAAAAGTTCGGAAAAATTCGGCCAACTAGGTTAAGTTTTGGATACTGGAATTAATTTATCGGGTGTTAAGAAATAATTAGAGGATACTAAGTGGATTGGTATAAGAGAGACAATTTAGGTAAGCATTTAATAAAAAGGTGACAAGTGTCACCATGTGATTGCTTCTTACAATAAGACTACTATTCACCTTTTCTATTTGACCAAATAAAGCACAAAATTAACCAAAATTTCTCCATTTTCTCTCCTCTAGTGGCCGGCCCTCTCTCTCAAAAAGAAAGAAAGAAACTCTTCAAGTTTTGCTTCCATTTAGCTCAAAACCATCCAACCAACCATTGAAACTTGAAATTTCTCCATAAAACCTCTTCAATTAGTGTTAAGGAGTTGATTTGTGGAGTTATTTGGAAAGCTAAGAGGACCTATTGCTCCCTCTCTCTTGTTTCTAAGGTGAGTTGAGAAGAACCATTCTCCTCCCTCTAATGATGCTTAATTTGTGATTTGTGGTAGTATAAGGTGCGATATTATGGATTACATCTTGATTTGTGGTTGAATTAGTGAAGTTTTCTATTTATTGGTGATTTTTCTGTTTTAATATGAACATGATTGTGTGGCTATCTATGATGATTGGAAATGGTATATAATGACTGTAGGAGGTGGAAAAAGTGGGTAATTACAATCAATTTCTGTTTGGAAGAAAAATTGACAAGTTAGGGTTTTTATGAATAACATTCTGCCCGGTTTTATATCTCCTAGTTAGAGGCCGAATTGGCCTTGGCTTAAAACATGAAAGTTGTAGGGAATGACATTTTAGAGGTGTCTACAAAATTTCAGGTCAATCGGAATAGCGTAGAATGAAAAAAGTCGAAATTACCCTTGCTGTCCTGGTTTTACCCGAATGTAAGAATTGCGCCTGTAATTGGGTGTTTTGGCTGGAATTTCTTCGGAATTTGTTGTTGAGACCTTCTGATGAAATGTAGCCCTATTTCTTAGCTTTCAGTTGGTTTTGGAATTTCAGGATTTGGACTTGGATAGCCTGATTTATGATGTTTCCGCTAGAATACGTTCTGTGAATCTGTTTTACGGTTTTTGTGTAGTATCTTGCATTTTTTACATGGTTGCACTCAAAATTGGGTTGAGTGACCTTCTGTAATGTTGTAGCCCTGTCTTTTAGCTTCGAAATGGTGTATTGTACACCTTTATCCGGTAATCGTAGTGCCTTGGGTGCCATTACCGCAAAAAGAGGTCAAAAACTATTTTTTTCAGGGCAAAGCTAAATCCATTTCCGGATTTTCTGGTTTCCCCTACTGCTTGTATATGCTTATGGAACCCTATTGGGGTCGTGTTTGGCATTGATTTATGACTCGTTATCGAGTCTCATTGTACTTGTTTGCATGTTTTAGGGCGTGACGGTGGTTCACGACGTTCTTTTGACGGAAGTGCATGAAACACCATTTGCAAGCTTGGTGAGTGTACTACTCACTTGTGTGTTACTATATAGCTTTGATACTTGAACTTGATGAGTTGAATGTTCATTGATTGAAGTGAGAGCGTACTTTATCACTCTCACTTATTGTTTATCATGTTACATGAAATGTTACATGAAATGAGAGCGTACTTTATCACTCTCACTTATTGTTTATCATGTTATTGGAATGTTACATGAAATGAAAATACTTGACTTGGTGTCGATTGGACGAGTATCCAACGACTACAATTGTTATCATTGAATTCAACCCCATTGGTAGTTGATTGAATCGAGCCAGCGAGGGCTTGGTCGTGCCAATTAATGATCCTTGGGAAAAAGTTATAAGGAATCTTGTAGTATGAGAGACTCTCGATTCCGGTATACTCGAGTAATACCACAGTGCAAGTGTTTGGAATTCGGGTCCGGTAGGGGGATGTTAGGTGGATGGAATGGAAGTAAAGTGGAGTCTACGGTTGGTTACTTTCGAACATTGACGGAGAGTCAATGAGATCCAATCAAGAATGCAAACGAGGAAAAAGGGCTCTTGAGAGCCACCCGTATCCTTTTATCCTCATTATTGACGTGTGCCTTGGCTTACTTTTGATGAATTGAAATGAAAAACTTTATGTCTATGTGAACTCTGTTGCTTGGGTAGTATTCTCATTGGGCAATTAGCTCACTCTATTCCTTTTGTTTTCCTTACAGGAAAATAACTACTTTTGGACTGCAATTGATAATTGATTGCCGAAATGAGCTAGTTGGACATATCTTTTGTATAGCTCATTTATTGAAACCCTAAATGTACTTTTGGGTCTGTTTCTCTTTTGATTTGGCAAACCATATATGTATCCACTTTTGAATACTTTTGTATGCAATTTTGGATTGTAAATACTAAAGTTCAAGATGTGAACGTTTGCTTGGTATTTGGTTGGGTTCTGACGGGTCGGTTACTATTCATGGCCGATTCCGGATTTCATTTTTTTTTTATTTTGGGTTATTTTGCCATTTTGACTTGTTTACGCGCGTTTATAAGTTCCGGAACGCGATAGATCGCTCTAAACTGCACCGTTAGTCCTTGCGAGAGTTGGGCAGGCAGTCCGCTGATCCCTTTGGTTCGCCTTAGGGGAAGGTGGGGCTGTCACAGCGAAGCCGAAAAAAACTGGTAGGATATAAAAGTACCAAGCTCGGTTACCGTTGCAATTCTCATTTGTTTCTGGACCGGTTATTGCTATGATATTGATCAATTTGAGTGGCATTTGGTTAGGAATGGGATCAGTTATCTGGTAATTTAGAGGAACTTTCGTGACTTTTTATTAGGAGTTTGGACTGGTTACTTTGTAATTTTGTTGAACTCTGGTGGCATTTGTTTGCTGAATGGTCTTTGGGCAGATTTGCGACAAGTAGGCATTGAATCCTTCGGTGGACACCAACCAAAATACAAGCAGCCTCCTTACTTTGCCTCCGCTTTCTCTCTTCTTCCTCCGGCAGCACCTTGCGACATCCTCCTCTCTCCCTTTCCCTTTTCCTCTCCGTCTCTTGCCATCTCCACTTTCGGTCAACTGCCCTGCTTCAACACAATTTCCCCCCCCCCCCGCCGGCCCCTTATTCTCTAGTTCTTAGCCTAATCTTTTCCTCAACTCCCACTCCTACTACAGGGCATTCTATCAGCCATTTCGGCCTTGCTCCCCACTTTAATGTAGTGGACCTGAGGGTACCTGAATTTCTGTGTTTTCCATTTAGGCCCGTTTATTTGCAAGGAATGTAGGGAGGGAAGAGCTGAGCTTTCTTTGTTAATCCAATCGGTGGATGGTCCAGCATAAAACAAAAGGTTTTAGAGAGGTTTCTCTATATACTGTTGATGAGGTATTTGTGTATATCTAATCTTCATTTTGAAGGCTGAATTTTGATTCCATGTTTGCTGCTATCACTCTTTGTTTTTGTTACAATTATCTTCTGCTGAATATGAATTTCACTGATGTAGTTGTTTAAGAGTACTTTTTTTTTTTTGGTTATTCTTGTAGCTTCTTGGTTGTAAGATTGAAGATTTTGGTCTACTAAGTACTGTGCATGTTAGCTGTTTGTCAATTTGTATTTTGAATATTAAGCAGACTTTCACTTGATTGTTCTTAGGTTCTAGCTAGTAGGTATATTGGTGCAAGCCCCCCGCAAATTTTAAGTATTTGGACATCTTTCCCAGTAAGCGTTGGTTGATTATTTGACACTTGGCACCCTTCACTTGGCACCATTCGCTTGAGAATAAACGTAGTAGACAGCCTCTTCCTTCACAAACTCTTGGTATGCACCCACCCCTCCCCTCGCCTTCTTCGTCCTCCACCATCTCGTGTTCTTGGTGGTTAAAATCTTTTGCCACTGTTCAATACTGCTCGATCCCTCTCTCTTCCTGGCTACCATCTTTTGTGAGATTGGCAAGGTTTGTACGCTTGTTCACTCTTCTTACTCTTCCTTTTTCAAAACGTACTTCTTTTTCAGTATAATATTGAAGTTTGTCTACGAAACCAGTTTTGCCAGAGATATGCATTGCCCATGGAATTACGTAGCTTTAAGAAAAAATGCCTAAAAATGACCATCTAAACACATACTGAAGCTTTACTTGTGTGTGATTAAATGAATCTTTAATCGCACGTACCTGTATGTAATTGATTGAATGTTTAATCCCATGATTTGTGTTCTGACCAATTTATGCGCTAAAGCATTTTGGTATGATCTATGCAGGGTTTGAAAATCTCTAAGTGCATGTGCTTCAAGCAACCTTTGGTGATTCGGTGATTCTTAATTGACCTTCAAAATTGGTAAGTAAACTTGCCAATTTGCGTAATTTAATGTGCTATGTTTCTGAAATCTGAAATTTTTTAAATGCTAAAAATATCAACCTATGGCTTCATACTTCACATGCATATAACTATCATCTGGATTTTAGATTATCTTATATATGTCATATAGAGTTGTCTTAGGCATGAAACTTCCATCAGTTGATAATTTCTTTCTTATGGTGAAAAGTTATATTGATAGTTGTGCAGTATTTTGTGTTAAGAATTAATATGTCGAGAGGACAATATCGTACTAGCGTGAATATATTTCTGACTCTTCAAGCTTGCACCATTTTGGATGAAATAATGATTTTAGCTATATAATATATGATATCATCAGTTATTTATCCCAAACACAAGTTCCAAGGATATGACGTTTTAAATGAAAAATTGAAGGATTGATTAAGAGCAATGAATACCAACATATGATGGTTGGACAAAATACCTCACAGTGAATATAATAAATCAAAAACAGTAGTTGTAGGCATTGGAATTGAATCCAAATCTTTTCCACTAAGTCTTTTTCAATACTTTCTATAGCCAAGAATGAAAGTTTATGAAATTTATTGGAAGGGGGGTGGGATTTGAGTCTTGACATCATCATACAAAATATTGTTAGTTTTGCCACGAATTTTGTGCATAATTATTTTGCTTCAAATAGGCCAAAAAGAATGTGCATCTTTTTCAAATGGTAAGTATCTTATGCAAATTACAACAGCAAACAAGATTTTATTATTACATACCTCTCTCTTTAACCATTCTCTCATTACATGAGGGTGTAGTTGTTGTCACTTACTATGCTCATCAATGGTGTACTATCTCCATTTCAGTTTTGCCATTTGTGCCTGGGCAGAATTAGATGTCTATGGGTGGTGCAGCTAATAGTTAGAATGCAGAAAGTGGAGTATGTAAATAGAGAATAGTGTCTGGCAAAAATAGTTTGCTGGAGCATGTTTGTGAATCTCTAATATTTAGATGCAAGAATTACTCTCTCCTACGGGCCATTTGTGATGAGAATTTGAGGCTTGGGTTAGTGTATGGATAGTTCTAGAACAACCCTTACTACAGTTATTAAGTTTGATTTTAAAGGACTGATCTGATGTATGTTTGTTAAGACTACTGTGGCAAAATAGTTAGAAGCCACGACCATTGTAGTTCAAGTCTAAGTAAATGTCATGTGAATGGTGCCTGAGGATGATTGGTCAAACATAAGCATCAACATCGCTGCGATGAGAAAACTTGATGCATTCTTCTTGTTAAAGACAATCGGCTGTTTGCTGTTATAATCAACATAGATCTATGAAAGTTGAACCAAACTTCTATTTGTGTCGAATCCAACACCTAAGTTGACAGGAAATAATGACAACTTTGAGAAAACTGATTTTTGTTATGCTGAACAAGGAGGCATGCCAGGATGGTCAGCTGGTTTAGGGTCATTTAGGCAGATTTCTGTAGAAGGAAGAAATGCGGTGACTACTACTCTCATGTGTTTTCTTCTGGAGACCTTTTGGAGAAGTCAAGAAATCACTTGTGCCACAAGCCAATCAAATTCTGAAAGCTGTGAAGGTTATTGATAATAGCATTCCTGCGGAAATGGGGATTCCTAATTCCTATATTTTATGATTTCCTAAGGTAGTCATTGGATCAATCAGATCAAGCTACTGCAATTCTTCAACAGTAAAATGGCTATAGTGGTCAGCTTTCTAAGTATATTTTCTGTGTATATCAGTGCTCCATTTAGAGGAGTATAGAATTACTGGAGATGTAATTTACCATGCTATATATATAGCCAGGAAAAATCTACACTTGACTTGTATTTGGACTGCCTTAATCTGGGCTCTGGCCATGAAGCACTTGAGCTTGCATATTAGTTTGAAGCATCAAAGATGTCAGGCTTGGTCATCCGGACATCCGTACATCATTAATCATTGGATGACATGCTTTTCTTGGTCCTCGTTTTTTACATGAAATACATGCTAAACTTTAAAAAAAAATCGTGAAAATTCTGGTTAGTTTTTGTGCATTTCTTTGCAAGTGACTATTGTAAAGATGTTAGACAGAATAGCTAATTTATCCAATAATCTGATCAATTATAAATTGTGATTCTTCTGAACAGTGGCAGGCTTTCATTGGAATTGCACCTGGATCTCCTGAGGTTTGTTTTGTTCTTGGATTGGGAAACTTTTGTCCACTTCTGTACTAGGCATACTTCTGAATTATTTGTTGTTTGCAAAGCAACTTGTGTTTGGGTTTCTGGCAATTCTCCTTTGTTCATTGGTTTAAAAGGTGGCGGTGAATACGTTAATTCTCTTTTGTTCTTCTTTCTGGATTTGTTTATTATTGCATTTGGAACGCATAACATTGTGCATGTGTGGATGTTTAGGCTTTTCTGTTTGTTGTTCTTTTGTTAGAACTGATAGAGATTCTGCAATGAAGTGTATTATCGTACTAGATTTTATGCTGCAACTATTTTACGCAGCTTATTGACAGATTCAGGGAATTCCTGCTATTTTTCTTGCATTAGTTGTCTTAGGTGTCATTTTAATGTTGATTGGATGGTCAGTATGGCCTTGAAAGACCTTCTTTGGCCATTTGAAAAGAATGACCTAGTAAAGAGTATGCGTGGCCAATGACTTGAACATTTTGTATCTCAAGTGCCCAAGTTAGAGTTTCTTGTTTTAAAATTGTGGATTTGCATGGTTTTGGTTTGACATGCTGTTTAAGGGTTGTCAGTTGATTGAATCACAATTAAGATGATATTTTTTTTCCCTTTTTTGAGATAGTTGAGCACAAAATTTGTATCAAAATTTGTGCAAGTTAATGGCTGTATCTTGAATAATCTAATAATCTTTTTTGCAATTTGAACTAATGTCAACACTTTTTTTGTGATGGAGTGCAATTTGAGGCAGCAGAGAACAGGTGAAACTTGTTCAGTACTAGAATTTGATTACCACTGGAACCTTGAACTTTGAACTACTGATTCTTGAAGTAACCGATCATGTGCTTACTAATTAGTGATTTTGATTTCAAATAGCTCGATGTATTATGGATAAAGAGAGTTTATAACCAATATGTTGCTAATATTACATGTTTTTATTTGATTTTATTAAAAATAGGACCTGAGCATGCTCGCGCGAAGCCCGTGGCCCAAAAAACTAGTATAAGAAAAAGCACATCCACGAAGCTGCTACTGCTCCAATTCTCTCTTTTTTAGTTTTTTATTCCCTCCTCTCACTCTTGGTTAGCCAAGAAAATACCTAAATTGCTTAAGCCCTATATAATTGCAGGCGAAATTACTGCATCAATTGCATCGGAGAGTCATCGGCAGGTAGTCCTTGCCTTTATTTGCAGGTTTTCTGGCAGCCTCGACCTTGGGGGTTTTTGCGGGATTGGAGAATTTAGTTTAGAATCTTCTTTCAATTGTTTGCTAAGATGAAGCTCTCTTTCTCCCTCTCCTCAAAGCCCCCAAATTCAACCCTCAAGAAACCCTCTGCCGCTGCCACCGACTCCGAAGAGTCAAAAGAATTCGTTACCGAATTCGACTCCTCCAAGGCCCCAACCGCCAAAAATCGGGATAATCGGGTAATTCCTCCTAAGCCCAATGAATGGAGGCCGACTAAGAGGATGAAGAACCTCGAGCTACCACTCCAATCTGATGCTCAAGATCAACCAATGCTCCAATTTGAAGTTGTTGAATCTAGCTCGTCTGACCCTACTTCTGAGAGTATGTCCTACGGCCTTAACCTGCGTAATTCGGGTAATGGGGCTGGAGCGAACCCACAGGAATTTCCTGGTTCGGCATCTAACGGAGACCCCGTGTTGCATAAATTGAGGGAGGATTTGAAGAGGTTACCAGAGGATGCTGGGTTTGAGGAGTTTGAGGATATGCCCGTTGAGGGATTTGGTCGGGCGTTGTTAGGTGGGTATGGTTGGGTTGAAGGCAAGGGTATCGGAAAGAATGCAAAAAAGGATGTGGACATAGTGGTGTTAAAGAAACGAACTGGCAAGGAAGGGTTAGGGTTTACTGGTGGATTACCGGAATTACCAGCTGAAGCCAATCGTGAAAATGGTGGTGGGACTAATAATGGTAGGAGAAAAGGAAGTGACAGAGATGGTAAGGAGAAGGGAAGGGAAAAAAAGGACTTTTATGTGGGGAAAGAAGTGAGGATTGTGGGTGGAAGGGAAGTTGGGATGAAAGGTAGGATACTTGAGGTGAAACACAGTGCGGAAGTTGCGATTTTGAGGCTTTTAAAGAGTGAGGAGGATGTAAGTGTTTATGTTAGTGATTTAGCCGATTTGGGATCAGTTGAGGAGGAGAGGTGTTTGAGGAAGCTGAAGGAGTTGAGGATTAGAGAGAAAAGTGATGTTAGTGATAAGAAAATTGGCAGAGGTAGGGATAAAGATTTGGTGAGCAGTTGGACGGATAGTAGAGATAGAGAAATGAAAGATAGGAAGAAGGATGGTAAGAGGGGAAGGGGGGAGATTAAGGGTAGCGATAAGTCATCCTGGTTGACTAACCATATCAGAGTGAGGATTATAAGCAAGAATTTAAAAGGTGGAAGATTGTACCTGAAAAAAGGGGAGGTCGTGGATGTGGTTGGGCCAACAACTTGTGACATATCCATGGATGAGAACAGGGAGTTGATACAAGAGGTGGATCAGGAGCTACTGGAGACAGCACTTCCAAGGCGTGGAGGACCGGTTTTAGTTTTGTATGGTAAACATAAGGGTGTCTATGGAAGTCTAGTGGAAAGGGATACAGAGAAGGAAACAGGTGTGGTTAGGGATGCTGATTCACATGAATTGCTTAATGTTCGCCTTGAGCAAATTGCGGAGTATATTGGCGACCCAAGCTACGTAGGTTATTAGTTGATTCCTAGTAACGAGATGCAACATTTGCTTGATTAGTAATGTGCTTCCAAACTACATTGGTTATCAATTGACTCGCATCATGAGATGCAGCATTTTCTTGATTGATACTGTGTTTCAAAGTTCAAGGTACTTTTTGCCAACATTCTTTTGCTGTTTCCTTTGTTTCTAAGCGTGAGAGAGAATTTTTATGCACTTTCAACTAGAGTAATGTTTAATGCGAATCTCATCTTCAGCATAATTATTGAATGTTTAAATTAGAAGTGGTTTGCTTATGTATTTTATACTAATTAGGATTGTAGGCTTCAAATATATTCCGTGTAAAGATTAAGAATTGTATTTGCATACAAATGATTTAAGTATGGTTTGGGACTCAGTTGTTTTTTGTCTGAAACTGAAATCTGTCTCTCTCTCGTAGAGATAGGTATAGCAGTTCTAGGTAGCTGTTTGCTTCACCATGTGGAGTTCTACTTAGCTAACTTCATCATTTACCATTTGTTATAGTTATTGATCTTCTTTGGTGCTGCTTTAGATCTCAGTTGGGGTTTATCAATTTGCATTTGAATGATGGTAACAGCAAGGTGCAGGGTATTGTTGGGAAAGATCTCTCCATTTATTTATTGATTTTAATAGCTTAAATTTTGAGTTAATGTTTTGTGGACGGCTGCTTTTTCACTGGTGGACTTGCATATGGGAACAACAAACCAGCTTGTTAGTTGTTGCTGTATGAATTATGCTGTTTACTCTTTTTTCGTTGGAACTGGTGCATTTTTGCTTTTGACATTTTCTTTGGCCGTGAATTTAGTTTGCGATAATAGTTACACTGATCTGTAGCCTACATGGTACTATGGATATGATGCTTTGTGACTTCATTTTAAAGAAATAAATGCTTGCTTGTTGGTTCATATTTAGGTAATGTTGGGGTTCTGTACAATCATCAAAAAGGTGGTCACTAAATTTCTTGGGATCTAGACTTTCTTATGAGGATCGTTATGAATGTAATTACAAGTTAAGATGCCAAAGGAGGAATTTTTATGTAAGGCTAGTAATGTTTTTTTTTGTTGTGATACTACATCTGAAGCGAACTGATTTGCTAAAGGGAAAAGGACGGTAATTCTTGTCATATTTGGTTTGACTTTTGTGAACTAGACTATGATGGTTATCTATGGCATACGCAAATTGTTTCTTCCACCTTATGTTACGTGGAAATGTTTCCATCAATTTGTCTGTAAAGAGCCAGATCCTTGCCCTGTTTGTATCTGAATTTTTGCTTGCAATCCTTAAGGAGTGTGCTTTATATGCTGGGTAATAACTTAAAATTTCGGAAGATATGATAATGAATCAGCTGTCTTCTTCTAGTTGAAGCTAGCAAGCAGTTTTCTAATAACTATTGCCTTTTACTGATTGTATAACAGACATGTGGTTCGATGAGACTGAAACATTTATAGAGATTTGTAAGTTTTGTAGTTTCTTGGTGCTAATTCTTGTTGCTTTTTAGCACTCCAAATTCTGGAATCTTGATTTGAACCCAAAATTTTTTTTTTGTTGGGGGGCCGGGGGGGGCGGGGGGGGATTGGCAGGTGCATGGGTTTGGGCATGGAGAATAGTGACAAATATGTATTAGCTAAAAGACAAAAAAAATTCAAGTGGAGAGAGTAATCTTAGCTTTCAAATGTTTAAAGATACAGTGCGGGAACTAAAGCAGCATGGCTAGAAAATATCCTCAATGAGCTGCTTAAGTTTCTAATGTTCATTATGCTAGTCCTTACTATAATGCTAGGGTCAGGGGAGGGTTAACAGAATTTGTGACGCAGGATCTTTAGGTTTCAGCAATGAAATTAGGTGTGGATTACATGCGAGCACACTGGATCTTTTAGGTGTCTATTATGTGCAGAAAATAGACTTAAGTGTTGGTACAAAAATTAGAGAGGAAGATGAGGAAGGAGATGAAAAGGCAGAGAACTCATGCATTATGTCAGAGAGCGAGAGAGATAGAAAGGGAAGCATCTTTTGAAAATTGCTTCATTTCATTTCAATCTGCCCTAAAGCTATTACAACCTATATTCATGTATGGAACATGACTTGGGGGGAGGAGATCTTAGAAAGGACCAGAACTCAACAACTAAGAAAGCTAAAAGCTCAAAAACTAAAGGAAGCCAATTTGGACTTTACTACTACTGCAGGTGGCCTCCATTTCCAAAGACTTGCAGAGCTTCTAGCAAGAAGACTGGATTTCTGAATTTTGAATCTGTCAAAAAAGACTTCTGCTATGCACCCTATGGCTTATTTTAGCATGAGCTGAAGTATAAAAAACTCATGAAAATTGGAACGTAAACTGCTTTGACTTATACATCAAACTTCACATCTAAATGGAAATACATCATGGAAGGCGGCTAGAGAACTTGAAAATCTGTTATTTTCTGAAATTATGAGAATCTTTGTTCAGATCTCTTCATTCTGCGTCAGTTTGGTATTTAAAAGCTGCTTTCACCAATTAACCTGTTCTACTTGAAAGAGATGCTGTTGTTGGACCAGCCATTTTAGTGTGGATAGGGATTGTGTAGATTTTACCTTGTCACTAGTTGTCCCTGCTGACATTCAATTGTTCAACACTTATTCATATGGTCCCTTTTAACTGAACGTGCTACAGTTTTTGTTCCTGAAATAGAAAGGTAATGTCTGAGCATAAGAGGTGACGATAGCACTTTGGCGAATAATTGATTATTTGAGCTATTTGATTATCTTTGGGCATTTAGTCGGGTTTATTGATTCATCTAAATTGTTTATCATTTGATTTAAATTTCTCTTACGTTCTTGCTCCTGAAATGTGTGCGACCTTAAACTAGACTGACAAAACTTTTAGTTTAAAATGACTTAAGGATCAGTTGTTGCATACCTTCTAAAATTAGCTTGGTCTATTAGAAGGCTGAGATTTATCTCTTTTGACAGAATATTGACCAGCCAAAACAGAATTGCCTTTTTGAGTTTTGATAATTTGGTCTGCATCATGTTGACCAGGTCCCAGCTACCTTTTTCTTATTATTTTGGGCTTATTTTAAGGATATGATGAGAAACCAATAGCATTTGATTTTAGTGTTTTCAATGGAATTTTACCTCATGTTGCAATTAAAGAATAATGATAAAAGAAAAAGGAAAAAAAGAAAAATCTTCTGGCATCAGTCGTTAACTTCTCAATGCTTCCAACCCAACCCCCCCCCCTCCCCACCTCTCGGGTAGATACAGATCATGTTATCTGGAATCTTCACTTTCCTTGTCATACCCATGTCCATTCCTTCATTTTGCACTAGTCTGTTGGTGCGGGACCCCTTAGGTGAGTCCATGTAACATAGGAAACAGCAAATGTTTAGCTTCTATTGTTATTTCCAGCAATAAGCAACTAAACTGTACTGCCTTTTTCTTGGTAGTCCATTATTTTTTTGAGGTCTTAGTTCTTTCTGTATTCTAGCTTATCTCTCTTCTTTGAGAAAGAGGAACTCCAGCGTACAGCTGATGCTGCAAATGGTTACGTCATCATTGGACCTCTTTAAAATATGTATTACATGGTAACATGCTTCACCTTTTAAACAAATCCAGATTTATTTTTGATCCAAGTTGATGGACTTGTGGAGTTTCAGATCAGTAACTTTTTTTACTTGTACATTCTAATTATCATGCCTAATCATTATGGAATGAGTGAGTGAGGGCAGGAGGAGGTTGTTCTAGTATTCTGTTTTACATACTCTGCAGATGTCTTTTGTTCAGATTTTCGAAGTATCTTTAAAGTATTTCAAAACCTTGAATTAATATTAAAGGTTTTCTACCCATGAATGGTTAAGGTGCACAAGTCAATCAACAGTAATTCCTTCCGAGCCACTGGCAGCGGACTGTAGGATTGTAGCAGGAAATCTGATGCATGTTTTTGTTTCTTCTGCTGTTAAAAATTATTTAAGTTCAGTAAGACTTTAAGGTGTATCAGAGTACTAGGGAAGGTGAAATTGCACCTGCAAAAGTTTATTTCAGGCCTCCTTTTATGAGTGGGGCTATCCACTTCTCTCATGGGTCCTAATTCATTTATGGTTAGTTTTGGCATGTTAAAAAGTTTTTTCTCCTTGTGTCATTTTGTTTTGAGTGGTTATATACCTGAATTTGCTTCGGCGAGGTACTTGTAGATTGTAGTTGTAGTGCCTTTTTTTCTGTTGAAAAGGTAGATAACTTTGGTGACTGATATTGTCAAGATGTGTAATACTAGTGTATCTGGCCAAAAATGCTAGAACACGTTGAATTTCTAAGGTGGTTTATTATTGTGATCCTTTTGCAATTAAGAACACATACTGGCCTAACATTCTCTGCAATTTGTGTTAACAATTGTTAGGCCAGTGGCAGGGGAAAAGACTGTTGAGCTTGAGATTTAAAGTGGACAGAATGGTAGCTCAAGCATTATAAAACAATCAAAATGCACCAAATCAAGCCAGTTTGGAGTTCAAACTCAGCAAGCTGAAAGAGAAAATTGCTTCCAGTGATTCAAGGATAATCCCTCACTCTGTCTCCATCGTACAGCTACCACCAAATCAGTCGAACATGTGAGTTGGTCCTTTACTGAGGCTTAATTAGTAGACCATCTATTGGTGAAAGGCATTGGATAAGATCCTTGTACTTTATAACATTTTGCCAAAGCTAAATCAGCCATTTAAGATGAAAGAAATGAACATCCTTATTAATGGTTTTGGGAATGATTACCTTTTTTTTTTTTTTTCCTTTTGCATGGACTACAAAGTTTTAGCATGTAAAAGTGTGCCCCTTGGCGCGATGTATGAGGATAGCCAGACGCATGTTTGGAGTGTTGTAGCAGTTGGGCTGCTATGCATAAGTGAAAGGGTGTTGAAGACAATAAAAGATGCTGAGCAATTTAGCTGTGATGAGAAGGATTAGTAGATTGAATGGCAGTTTAAATTTTGGGGGTATTCTATGTAGGATTATGCAAACGAACTTAAATGCATCATGCATTGATTAATCGAGAGGACTATCATTCAAATGTAGGTGTAATAGCTATATATCAAACACAAAGTATACGCTGTGGCCACAACCAATCAAGAAATAACCTGTAAATTCACCCTCAAAAAAAAAAAAAAAAACCTGTAAATTCTACCCTTTTTTTATAAATATGATTTTATACAATTGTCTCCACATGAGAAGGTACACGCATATTTAGCCCAATCCTAGCCATGTCCTAGTTTCTTCACAAGTAACTCAATTTTAAGCCATTAATAGTGGCGTGGAGCCCTGCAACAGCATTTACCCCTTCTTTCTGACATTTCAAAGCACAAAAATTAGTGGTAACGAACATGAAGGTTGGTGGAATTAGAGGTGAAACCATATCCAACGTGGTTACATGCTTAATTCAATTGACAAATGCAAAGGTAGCAAAAATTAAATCATTACAATGCAGGGATTATTGATCTAAATAATTCGAAAAGGTTGAAATGAAAATGCACAAAGTAAAATCCAAATTAAGGTAATCCAAGTACCATCATGAACTGAAATAGCTAATAAATTGCGACCAGTCACATATATGATTAGGATCTCCATGATACCGAGTCTTCCATTGTTGCCTGGACCCAAACCAAGAGAGAAAAGTGGACAATCCGGGACATGATTAATTAATTATATTTACAAATAAGCAGCATAATCACTATATAATTCGAAAACCAAAATTTTTTTGGCCAATTATTAGTCAATCACTCTGATGAATGATGATGATGGAGATGCGACGATAATAATCTACAAGCTATCTGGTTACGTCAATTGATCTTGTACAATGAAATGGAAACCAAATAAAAACATGAAGAATTTACAATTCATAAAATTAGTGAAGGAGGATTTTTTTTCTGTTCGGGGGGAGGGGGGGGGAGGGGGAGGGGAGGGGAGGGATAAGGGGCTGCATTTGTGTTATATATGTAGAAAGCCACGTTAGAGACAACACATGTATTTAGTTCAGAAGGGAAATCTACCTGCTTTGCAAATCGGGGTTACAAGAAGAAAAACAAGAGTAATAGAGAGGCAAATCTCCACTTGTATAAGAACAAAAGCACAGGTTAGTTTGGCAACCAAACAAATGAAGTAAACTTTTGGAAATAACATCACATCATATATTGAAAGATACCATGAGCTGTTAAGAAAAAGCTTTCATAAGATACCTCTGTGGGGAGATTTTTGACTGGATCATCTGGTTCAAGGATCTACTAACGGTCATTGTCTTGGTAACATTATGATGTCATTTGATATTTTAGTTGATTGTTATTTGACAAAAACTTTCCTCACTATAGTTTCTCAAAGTAACTCTAAAGTCCACATATACTGGAAGGGAGCAGTTGAAACAGTATTAGACTCATGTACTAGGTACCTTGACATATGTGGCTACTTGCAGACCAATGCTCAGGATAAAGGTTAGACAAGCACAAGCTTGCATTCATTAGTTGGCAAAAACTGGAATTAAGAGTTTAAACATGTTGTGATGATTGCTGAAAGGGTTACTAAGAGTCTATGCTGCAAAACCCAGGGACAATGCTGCTTGCTGAAATAATATGTCTCGATTTCTTCAAGAATGTGATAGAAAATATGTCCAAATCCTTGTAAGGCTCCATGATTTGCTTAACAAGTTATGGCTCCATGATTAAATTGACCAAGAAAATATGTCCAAATTTGCTTACTATGCCTGTGGCATCGAAGACATTGGACAATGCTACTTTTGTCAGTGGTTCATATTATGCTTTTGGATGATGATGAAAACTTGTCAAAAGGGCTTTTTTTTTTTTTAACTCTATTGTCCAGAATGATGAAAAAATTGTAAGAGCCTTAGAAATTAGACTTGCTTGGACTTTTTGACTGTTTTCTAGACTTATATGAGTTTTTATATATTGTTCTTTATTAGTTCTAATATTTAGACAATTGGACATGTAACTTGGATAACTATAATGTTGCTCTTGTGTTTGTTGTGGTTTTTGCATTTGTTGTTCTATTGGATTTTGTTTAATTTCAGAAGTTCCAATGGCTTTTATTTAATTTCAAAATATGGTAATGATTTGTGTAGGATTTAAGGTTTTTCTCTCATAAGGTACAATTGAGATGAATTTATTTGTTTGGATTTATAGTGCTAAAAATTTATGTATGTTTGGAAATATTTAACTTTTTATCAGGTGATATCTATGGGATGTCTTTGGCCCTATTTGATAACCCAATTCAATACTTAGACTTAATGGATTCAGATCTTAATATGTTTAAACATGTCTGATAACCAGAACTTGAACATTTGAATTAATTAAGTGACACTGAATTTTTTAAGCAAAACTTGCTCCAAAAAATAAGTGATAAGCTATTCACTTATCTTTGAATGTAATATACACTCAAACGTATCTGATTTAATATTTAACAATTTAATAATTTAATAGATTCAAACTTCAAATTTCAGATTTCAGTTTTATGAAACGCACCCTTAGTCGGGGTTGAACCAGTTCAATCGGTTGAATTTCGATCCGATCACTTCACGGGTTCAATGAATGGTCCTGAGTTTCAAAACATTGATTAGAACAGCATTCCTTGAGCCAACTTAGAAATTTAGATTGTTGAGCTCTGTTTGACCAAGTTGGCTTTAAAGAATTCCGTAAAGTTTGTGCTAGAGGACAATTCCTCAAAACATGATCTAGGTTTTTAGTCTAATTGTTACAAATAGTACAATTGTTGTCAGGTAAAAGGTTTTTTTGTCAAGGAGGTATATGGTGGCTTCTCTATCATATACAGGCACAGCTAGACAAATGAAGTGCTTAATTTTGTTAGGGGCCTTCACTTTTCAAATCTAGTTAAAAGAGTTTATGGTTGGGAAGAAGGATAAGTGCCAGAAAGAATTCTAGCTAAATCATAGGCAGGTTTTTTTTATATATATATAGAATCTACCATATGAGGTGGGGCTCCATTCAAGGCTATCTAAAAAAGTGGGAGTAGTGGGACGTGGGAGTCGCAAAGATTTTGTTAGTGATCTCAGGTGGTAATGAGAAAGATAGATTGCTCGGATTCCATCCTCCCTTTCCTTCGAAAAGATCATCAGCCAGAATCTGATCTTTATTTTGTAGTAGAGCTTCTTGAATTTGGGATCTAAGGTTGACAATGAGAACCAGTTATTGCTCCAAGTATTTAGTAATTTCCCATCTCTAATGTTCCATTCTATCTTAGGAGCAATAATGTCCCTTCCTGTTTTAAGGTTGTTAAGATTGATTGAACCTTGAGAAGTGGAGAGTTCAAGTTTTTTATGGGTGACCCAAAATTTTTTTTTATCAAAAAGGATTTTGACCCAGGGTTTGGGTTAGGGATGGCAATAGGGGCGGGTGCCCGCGGGGGGCTCTCGGGGCGGGGGTTGGGGCGGGGGCGGGGGGGAATTTTTTCCCCCGTTCCACCCCGAAAAAAAATTATATATATATATATATAATTATATATAATATGTAATTTAATTAGTTATAAACTTATGATAATGATATTATTAGTTAGATGTATTATATAATGTATATTAGTGTATGTAATATAATTGATATTATCAATTATACGAATAATTAGACATGTCTACTAATAGAATTTATTAATTAGTTATACTAAATTTACTAATACATTTATACGAAATTTCTAATTACACTTAATAGAATAACACTTTTTCTCAAAAAAAAAAACACAAACACAATAATGAATTAGTGATTGTATTTGTACCAAAAGTGAAAACTTAACTATTTTAGTTGTATTTATTTCATCATGTTGGATTGTATTCAAATAACTTTTGTTTGATTGTTTTTATGAGTTTCAATTATAAAATTAAAATGAATAATAACTTGATGATGTTTTGATATTTTAGTACTTGATTATTTATTAAAATTTAATTATAATAAAATTTTATTAACCCCGCGGGTGCCCCGCCGGGGAAGCGGGGCGGGGCAGGGGGAGTGGGAGGCGGGGGACGGGGCGGGGGCAGGGGGAGTTTGCATCCCCCGCCCCAACCCCGCCCCGTTGCCATCCCTAGTTTGGGTTGGTCTTTTAGAATCTGCCATCCTAATTTTGCAAAACTTGCTTTGTTAATTAAAATAGATTGTTTGACATAATCCCTCTTAGATTTATCAAGAGTGACAGTGTTCCACTTAACAAGGTGGATTTTTCTCTTGATTCAAGTGGAAATCCAAAGAAAATTTCTTTGTTCACTGTCAAATGCCTCACAATTCATTTTACGGATAGGAGTTGCTTAAAAGAAGAAATTAGGGATAGCTGAATTACAATAATGTTGGATGATTGATTTTCTGACTGCTAGCGAAAGAAACTTTGCCTTCCATCCTTGAAGTCTTTTTCCACTTTTTCTAGGAGGAACTAAAAAGTTTTAGTGGGGGCTATAGACAAAGGAATTTTATTTAATTTATTTAGTCAAGATTAAATAAATTGAGCCAATCTTGGGTAAATAAAATAAAATAAATTAAATTAAATTATAGAAGTTGAACTTACAAATTGGGCCATTATCATATGGGCCGTTGGTTCAAACCAAATTTGTATTGTCCGTTTAAATTGAAGTGGAGTAATTGATTTATTAATTCACAATTAACTATTTGAGGCAACCTACTATTAAAGCCCAAGTTAAATTGATTTCTCGAGTTACAAGTTACCCAATTGCAGAAAAGATTCTCAAGAGCTTTCTTGAAGACCTAATCTAGATATTTTGGCTATAAATATAGGTCTTTCTTTAAAGCAAAGGACACATTGAAATCCTCAAATTTTAGAGAAACTCTGCCAATTTTTTTAAAATCCTTAAATTTCAAAGGATATTTTGTGATTCCTCGATTCAATATGGCTGCGAATAAATGGCATCTAATTACGTCCCACAAATTGATTTTCCATGCAACAATTTTGGATCTATTTGGATATGGATTTTTTTCTAAATATTATTTAACTTGTACCATAAACATTTTTTAACTACTTTTTTTTATTATGTCATGTATATTGTATCACAAAAAGTGTTGTGTTACTCCAAATAATCTCCTATCCAAAACCTACCATTTCAGTTCCCTCATCTCAATCTTGGCAATGTAATTTACTTTCCGTATAACTCACTTTGCTTTCTTCTTCTCATTTTTCTATTTTCATTTCTTCCAAATTCCTTGACTTAAATCATTGTCACTAAACAATGACCAAAACATAACAATCAATATTAAAATAATAGATATTTTGATTTTTAGTTTTGTTTTTAATAAGGGAAAGGTAATATTTAAAAAAATAGGAAAAGGGAGAAGAATTTGAATCTAATTGCTCAAAAGGGTACTTCTATTCAAGAGGATGAAATGTTAATAGATATTTTCTCTTGACAAGATGTTAGTTGTATGTTGACCTTCTTATATCTTTTAACTTTTAGTTGTAGTGAATTGCTCTTCAATTTTTCGGTTATGATTTTTAAATGCTTGTATATTTTGATTACCATGATAAATATACTAGTACAACTAAATAGTATAATGCATAAAATTTGTTTAATATAATTTTGATTATCTATACTTATTCTTTTTAATCCTAAAAATTACTTATCACGTCACAGATTAATCACAATTAACCAACTAGGAATAGCACTTTTTTTGTCCAACTGCTGTTTCATTGATGTTTGACTTTTGCTTTATTATAGACTTTTGCTTAAATCAGTGATCGTTGACCCAATGTTTCCCTGAGGCTGTACAGAGCCCCGCCCAAAGATGCAAAGGAATTTAGCACAGCAAGATTCGAACCGGTGACCTACGAGATACTACCGCATGTGGTCACCAGCTGAGCTCCCTGTTGGGGGCGTATTATAGCGTGTTTATTTGACCATCATAAATTTAGTACTGATAGCAACTTCTTTTTTGTGTTTTTGGGAGATTATTATTGATGGTATTTTCACTGCCAGTCAATCAAGATAGCAGATTTGTGGGCATGAAAAAGGTACTGAAGGACAGGGATCTCTTGCTAAGGGTGATTTAGATTTTAAACAAAAGATCAAATCGCAAAAAAATATGTTGTGATTCGTAGTTATTATTAAGACGTAACTGTACATGAGCTACTGGAAAGTAAAAAAATCTATGCTTCCCATTGCAAAAATGCTAAGAAAAAGATGGTCAACTAGATTACGGAGAAGTATGAGATTAGTACATTTGTTGGTGCTTATGAAAAGAAAAGAAGTATATCTGGTGGCATATTCTTTAAGAAAGTTGAATGGATGTGAAATGTTTGCATGCATAGCTTTTTACTTCACTTGGGATGAGCCATGCTCGAATGTTTTCACAGGGATGATATATCTGATAATGTCTCTGACTCAACTTGCGTGCAAAAAATGGCTGTTTTGATTTATTCCTTAGATTTAAGTTTACTTATATATCCATTTCAGGATTTCTTTTTTTTTTTTTAATTTGTTTTTTTTTTTAATTCTTTTTAAATAACATTAGGTTCTGTTGGTGTTTCTAAACTTGCAGTTGAGATACTGGTGCTTTCAATCACATTATTGATAGAGGAAGCCGTGCTATTAATTTTATTCTGTTGTACATGGTATTTAATTTGAGACCGACTATATTAGAGGTATTGACTTCATCCCTTTTGTTTCTGTAGACCATTGGCCTTTAAATTTTAGCTATTTTTGTAAACGATTTAAGTTTCCGTTGCTTAGGGGTAGACTTTTCACTTGTATTAGCATTAGATTGGTTTCATTTCTCTGTTTCTGAGGTGGCATTTGGTAAGAGGGTTTCGAAATGAAAAATTGAAATAAACCCCATAATTGTTATTCACTTAGTTGAATTACTACTATCAAAATCGAGATTTTGGAATCATATTTAAAAATTTGGAGTTTCCTAATTCTTTACTAATCTGGAGGGTTTTGGACAAAACCCGCGTCTGATTCTCGTTTAAAAATAGAGCCCGTCCCGCCATCAGTTAAAAAAATTAATATATAATTATATACATGAAGCATTCAGATTTCCATGGCATCAAGTATTCTTGCCTACACATTCAGAGCACCATTTGCATGGATCACTTTCCTCCTTTGCAGCAACATATGCTGTTTACACTGTTGAGGGTGGCACAGCCAGTCTCTTTAACACTTTTTTTTTTTTTGGTCAATTGTCAATCCTACTCCTATTCTATCTACGGGAAGGCTCAATTGAGCCTATGAGATCGATAGGGACAGAACCACCACCGGACCAGACGGGTGCACTACGCACTCGTCTGGATTTGAAGCAGAGCCACAAGAGTGGCATTTTGGTGGGCCCTTGCCTCCCACCCCACCAAAGCCTTAAGGGCTTGGTGGTGGCCACCAGCCCAAGAGCTGGTGGTTAGTCTCTTTAACACTTAAACTATCCAAATAGTCAAAAATGTCTTGTCACAAAATAATATAGCATGCCTTTTATTATGAAAGTACCTATATATTCTTTTGTTGTTTTGGATTCAAAAGAAATTCAATTTGTTTCGTGTGAATTTCCAAAAAACAATTTTGAATAAGTTTTAACTAATTTGGATATTTCGTTATTTGTAGGGAGATAGATTGGAAAAGGAAATTAGACAAGATTTGTTGGGTTGGTGACGAGCGCTCGTCTTGAAATGCCATTTGAAATGGTGTTAATTACTTTTCTTTGCTTTTTGACTTTAAATTACCCATCTACTTCTCATGCAACTCTAAAAGTGCTCTAAAACGTAGTCTAAATTTTTTGAATATTTAAAAATATCTCAAATATATATTTTAAAAACTCTATTATTCTTAAATATTTCAAAATATTTTTTAAAAATATCCCAAAATATACTCTAAAAACTCTGCTACAGTAAAAATTTTCAAAAACACTCCCCAAAAACAGCTAATCCAAACGGAGCCCTTTGTCATTGTAAAATTATTTGCTATACTTTATCAGAACTTGCTGTATAAATAAGGTTGTAAACTCAAGATAATGAATTTTTATTATAATTGACAAGAATACATAAAATAAATACAGTTCTCTCACACGTTAAATCTAATCACTATCATACAAGTAGAAGTCATATATTTTTTTCCAACAAACGAAATTAGTATTTTTATATATTAACACTTGATAGTACAAGAATTAGTTACAAAAAGGACCAACTGCTCTCATATCTTTCCTAGCAATATCCATCAGCCATACAGGGAACTCATTGTCCCATTCTATTTTATGTACTAACTTGAGTGCATTTTGAGCTTGGTGTATAGCTGCACAAATTACCTGCTCCATGCACAAAGGAGAAGTTGCAGTGTTCAAAATAGCAAACTACACAATTAATAGCAAACTAAACAATTAGTGCCCCGAGAAACTAATTTTTAATTCAATATTATTGCTCGGAATTGTATTTATACGTTAACGTCCTCTATTCCACATGACTCTTAATAATAGTAATATATTTTTCTTTTTAGAAAATAATACAATCATAGTCGGTGTAATTGGGCATACCAAGAAGAAAGCACATCCGCCAAGCGGCTGCTGCTGCTCCAATTCTCTCTTTTATTCCCTCCTCTCACTCTTGAGTCTTGATTAGCCAAGAAAATACCTAAATTGTTTAAACCCTATATAATTGCAGGCAAAATTACTGCTCCAATTTCATTGGAGAGTCATCGGCGGGTAGTCCTCGCCTTTATTTGCAGGTTTTCTGGCAGCCTCGACCTGGGGGTTTTTGCGGGATCGGAGATTTTAGTTTAGAATCTTCTTTCATTCTTTGCTAAGATGAAGCTCTCTTTCTCCCTCTCCTCAAAGCCCCAAAATTCAACCCTCAAGAAACCCTCTGCCGCCGCCACCGACGCCGAAGAGTCAAAGGAATTCGTTACCGAATTCGACTCCTCCAAGGCCCCAACCGCCAAAAACCGGGATAATCGGGTAATTCCTCCTAAGCCCAACGAATGGAGGCCGACTAAGAAGATGAAGAACCTCGAGCTCCCACTCCAATCTGATGCTCAAGAGCAACCGATGCTCCAATTTGAAGCTGTTGAATCTGGCTCGTCTGACCCTACATCTGAGGGTATGTCCTACGGCCTTAATCTGCGTAATTCGGGTAATGAGGCCGGAGCGAACCCACAGGAATTTCCTGGTTCGGCATCTAACGAGGACCCTGTGTTGCATAAATTGAGGGAGGATTTGAAGAGGTTACCGGAGGATGCTGGGTTTGAGGAGTTTGAGGATATGCCCGTTGAGGGATTTGGTCGGGCGTTGTTAGGTGGGTATGGTTGGGTTGAAGGCAAGGGTATCGGAAAGAATGCGAAAAAGGATGTGGACATAGTGGTGTTAAAGAAACGAACTGGTAAGGAAGGGTTAGGGTTTACTGGTGGATTACCGGAATTACCAGCTGAAGCCAATCGTGAAAATGGTGGTGGGACTAATAATAGTAGGAGGAAAGGAAGTGACAGAGATGGTAAGGAGAAGGGAAGGGAAGAAAAGGACTTTTATGTGGGGAAAGAAGTGAGGATTGTGGGTGGAAGGGAAGTTGGGATGAAAGGTAGGATACTTGAGGTGAAACACGGTGGGGAAGTTGCGATTTTGAGGCTTTTTAAGAGTGAGGAGGATGTAAGTGTTTGTGTTAGTGATTTGGCCGATTTGGGATCAGTTGAGGAGGAGAGGTGTTTGAGAAAGCTGAAGGAGTTGAGGATTAGAGAGAAAAGTGATGTTAGTGATAAGAAAATTGGCAGAGGTAGGGATAAAGATTTGGTGAGCAGTTGGACGGATTGTAGAGATAGAGAAATGAAAGATAGGAAGAAGGATGGTAAGAGGGGAAGGGGGGAGATTAAGGGTAGCGATAAGTTATCCTGGTTGACTAACCATATCAGAGTTAGGATTATAAGCAAGAATTTAAAAGGTGGAAGATTGTACCTGAAAAAAGGGGAGGTCGTGGATGTGGTTGGGCCAACAACTTGTGACATATCCATGGATGAGAACAGGGAGTTGATACAGGAGGTGGATCAGGAGCTACTGGAGACAGCACTTCCAAGGCGTGGAGGACCGGTTTTAGTTTTGTATGGTAAACATAAGGGTGTCTATGGAAGCCTAGTGGAAAGGGATACAGAGAAGGAAACAGGTGTGGTTAGGGATGCTGATTCACATGAATTGCTTAATGTTCACCTTGAGCAAATTGCAGAGTATATTGGGGATCCAAGCTACATAGGTTATTAGTTGATTCCTAGTAATGAGATGCAGCATTTCTCGATTGATACTGTGTTTCAAAGTTCAAGGTACTTTTTGCCAATATTCTTTTGCTGTTTCCTTTGTTTTTAAGTGTGAGTGAGAATTTGTATGTAATTTCAACTAGAGTAATTTTTAATGCGAATCTGATCTTTATTATTTTAAACTAATTACAGGTTAGCAGAGAGTGTGTTCTTTTAGGATTGCAAGCTTCAAATATTTATTCCAAGTGAAGATTAAGAATTGTATTTGCATAAAAATGTTTTGAGTAAGGTTTGGGACTCAGTTTTTTTTTTTTTGTCTGGAAACTGAAATCTGTGTCTCAGTCGTAGCAGTTCAAGATATGTGTAGCAGTTCTATATAGTTGTTTGCTTCACCATGTGGAGTTCTACTTAGCTAATTTCATCATTTACCATTCGTAACTATTAATATTCTTTGGTGCTGCTTTAGATCTCAGTTGGGGTTTATCAATTTGCATTTGAATGATGGTAACAGCAAGGTGCAGCATATTGTTGGGAGAGTTCTCTCCATTTATTTATTGAGCTTAAATTTTGAGTTAATGTTTTGTGGACGGCAACAAACAAGATTATTAGTTGCTGCTGTATAAATTATGCTGTTTACTTTTTTTCCTTGGAACTTTGGATTTTTGCTTTTGACTTTTTCTTTGGCCATGAATTTAGTTTGGGATAATAGTTACGCTGATCTGTAACCTGCATGGTACTATGGATATAATGCTTTGTGACTTCATTTTAAAGAATTAAATGCTTCCTTGTTGGTTCATATTTAGGTAATGTTGGGTTCTGTACAATCATCAAAAAGGTAGTTACTAAATTTCTTGGGATCAAGACTTTCTTATGAGGGTCGTTATGAACTGTTAATTACAAGTTAAGATGCCAAAGGAGGAATTTTTATGTAAGGCTAGTAATGTTTTTTGTTGTGATACTACATCTGAAGCCAACTGATTTGCTAAAGGGTAAAGTATAGTAATTCTTGTCTTATTTGGTTTGACTTTTGTGAGCTAGACTATGATAGTTATCCATGGTATAGGCAAATTGCTTCTTCCACCTTATGTTATGTGGAAATGTTTCCATCAATTTGTCCATGAAGAGCAAGATCCTTGCCCTGTTTGTATCTGAATTTTTGCTAGTAATCCTTAAGGAGTATGCTTTACATGCTGCGTAATAACTTAAAATATTTCGGAAGATATGATAATGAATCAGCTGTCTTCTTCTAGTTGAAGTTGGCATAGCAGTTTTCTAATAACTATTGCCTTTTACTGATTGTGTAACAGACATGTTATTCAACGAGACTGAAAAATTTATAGAGATTTGTAAGTATTATAGTTTCTTGGTGCTAATTCTTGTTGCTTTTTAGCACTCCAAATTTTCATTACTTCTGGAATCTTGATTTGAACCCAAAATGAGAAAAAGGGGGGGGGGTGGTTGGCGGGTACATGCATGTGGGCATGGAGAATAGTGACAAATATGTATTGGACAAAGAGACAAAAAAATTCAAGTGGAGATTGTAATCTTAGCTTTCAAATCTTTTAAAGATACAATGCGGCAACTAAAGCAGCACGGCTCGAAAGTTTCCTTGATGAGCTGCTTCAAGTTTTTAACGTTCATTATGTTAGTCCTTACTATAATGCTAGGGTCAGGGGAGGATTAACAGAATTTGTGACACTGGATCTTTAGGTTTCAGCAAGGAAATTAGGTGTGGACAATGTGCGAGCACACTGGATCTTTTACTAATGCTATTACAACCTATGTTCATGTACGGAACTTGACTTGGGGGGAAGGGTTCATAGAAAGGACCAGAACTCAACAACTAAGAAAGCTAAAAGCTCAAAAATGGGTGAAAGAGTTCCTAGAAAGGACCAGAACTCAACAGCTAAGAAAGCTAAAATCTCAAAAGCTAAAGGAAGCCAATTTGGACTTGACTACCATGCTCAAAACTGAAGGAAGGCAACTTGGGCTTGACTACTACTGCAGGTGGCCGCCATTTCCAAAGACTTGGAGAGCTCCTCGCAAAAAGACCAAATTTCTGAATTTTGAATATTTGTCAAAAAAAAGAAAAGAAAAAGACTTCTGCTATGCACCCTATGGCTTATTTCAGCATGAGCTGAAGTATAAAACTCGTGAAAATTGGAATGTAAACTACTTTGACTTCTACATCAAACTTCACATCTAAATTGAAATACATCATTGAAAGCAGCTAGAGAACTTGAAAATCTGGTATTTTTCTGAAATTATGCATCAGTTTGTTATTTAAAAGCTGCTTTCCCCAATTAACCTGCTCTACTTGAAAGAGATGCTGTTGTTGGACTAGCCATTTTAGAGTGTGTAGGAATTGTGTAGATTTTGCCTTATCGCTAGTTGTCCCTGCTGTCATTCAGTTGTTCAACACTTTTTTTCAAATGGTCCCTTTTAACTGAACATGCTACAGTTTTTGGTCCTGAAATAGAAAGGTAATGTCTGAGCATAAGAGTTGATGATAGTACTTGGGGGAATAATTGATTATTTGAGCTATTTGATTATCTCTGGGCATTTAGTCTGGTTTATTGATTCATCTAAATTGTTTATCATTTGATTCAAATTTCTCTTGCGTTCCTACTCCTGAAATGTGTGTGACCTTAAACTGGACTGACAAAACTTTTAGTTTAAAATGACCTAAGGATCAGTTGTTGCATACCTCCTAAAATTAGCTTGGCATATTAGAAGGTTGAGATTTATCTCTTTTGACTGAATATTAACCAGCCAAAACAGAGTTGCCTTTTTGAGTTTTGATAATTTGGTCTGCGTCATGTCTACCAGGTCTACAGCTACCTTTTGCTTACTGTTTTGGGCTATGTTAAGGGTATCATGAGAAACCAATAGCATTTGATTTTAGTGTTTTCTATGGAATTTTACCTCATGTTACAATTAAAGAATAATGATAATAATAAAAAAAAAACTTCTGACATCATTCGTCAACTTCTTAATGCTTCCTAATCCTGAAAAACGGGGCTTGCTAATGTATTGAACAGGTTATTGTGCCCCCCCCCCCCCCCCCCAAAACAAAAATGTTACCTGGAATCTTCACTTTCCCCGCCACGCCCATGTCTAACCCATCATTTTGCACTAGTCTGTTGGCGGGATCCCTTAGCTGAGTCCAGGTAACATAGAAAACAGAAAATGTTTAGCTTGTATTGTTATTTCCAGCAATGAGCAATTAAACTGAACTTTACTGCCTTTTTCTTGGTAGCCATTATCCTTCTGAGGTCTTAGTTCTTTCTGTATTTTAACTTATCTCTCTTCTTTGAGAAAGAAGAACTCCAGCATACTGCTGATGCTACAAATGGTTATGTCATCATTGGACCTCTTTAAATTATATATTGCATGGTAACATCCTTCACCTTTTAAACAAATCCAGATTTATTTTTGATCCAAGTTGATGGACTTGTGGAGTTTCAGATCAGTAACTTTTTTAACTTGTACATTCTAATTATCATGCCTAATCATTATAGAATGAGTGAGTCAGGGCAGGAGGTGGTTGTTCTAGTAATCTGTTTTACATACTCTGCAAATGTCTTTTGTTTGGATTTTCAAAGTATCTTTAAAGTATTTCAGAACCTTGAATTAATATTAAAGGTTTTCTACCCATGAATGGTTAAGGTGCACAAGTCAATCAACAGTAATTCCTTCCGAGCCACTAGCAGCGGACTGTTGGATTGTAGCAGGAAATCTGATGCATGTTTTTGGTTCTTCTGCTGTTAAAAATGATTTTAAGTTCAGTAGGACTTTAAGATGTATAAGAGCGCTAGGGAAGGTGAAATTGCACTTGAAGAAGTTTATTTCAGACCTTTTATGGGTAGGGTTATCCACTTCTCTCATGGGTCCTAAATTCATTTATGGTTAGTTTTGGCATGCTAAAAAGTTTTTTCTCCTTTTGACTCGTGTCATTTTGTTTTGAGTGGTTATATACTTGAATTTGCTTCAGCGAGGTACTTGTAGATTGTAGTTGTAGTGTTTTTTTTTCTGTTGAAAAGGTAGATAACTTTGGTGACTGATATTTTCAAGATGCGTAATACTAGTGTATCTGGCCAAAAATGCTAGAACACGTTGAATTTCTAAGGTGGTTTATTATTGTGATCCTTTTGCAATTAAGAATACATACTGGTCTAACATTCTCTGCAATTTGTGTTAACAATTGTTAGGCCAGTGGCAGGGGAAAAGACTGTTGAGCTTGAGATTTAACGTGGACAGAATGGTAGCTCAAGCATTATAAAACAAACAAGCCGGTTTGGAGTTCAAACTCAGCAAAGCTGAGAGAAAAAATTGCTTCCAGTGATTCAGGGATATTCCCTCACTCTGCCTCCAGTGTACAGCTACCAAATCAGTTGAACATGTGAGTTAGTCCTTTACTGAGGCTTAATTAGTGAACCATCTGTTGGTGAAAGGCATTTGATAAGATTCTTGTATGTTATAACATTGTCAAAGCTAAATCAGCCATTCAAGAAGAAATGAACATCCTTATTAATAGTTCGGGAATTATTCCCTTGTTTTTGGGTGAATGGACTACAAAGTTTTGGCGGCTAATGATATGCCTCTTGGTTGCTGTTGAGTCTGAGGTGCATTACATATTGGGTATTGGATTTATGCCTTGGCGCAGTTTGTGAGGATAGCCAGACACATGTTTGGAGTATTGTTGCAGTTGGGCTGCTGTGCATAAGTGAAAGGGTGTTGAATACAATAAAAGATGCTGAGCAAATTAGCTGTGATGAGAAGGATTAGTAGATTGAATGGCAGTTTAAAGTTTGGGGGTATTTTATGTAGGATTATGCAAACGAACTTGAATGCATCTTGCATTAGTTAATCGAGAGAAATATCATTCAAAAGTGTAATAACCTTATCAAACACAAATTACAAGGTGTGGCCCCAACCAACCAAGAAGTAACTTTTAATTCTACCCTTCTATATTATGAACTTCAGATTTCTTTTTCATCAATATCATGTTATACAATTGTCTCCACTTGAGACGATTGGATAAAACTACACACGTCTAGCTCAATCCTGGGCGGTAACTGCATTTAGCCATGTCCTGGTTTCTTCACAACTTAATTTTAAGCCATAAATTGTGGTGTGGTGCCTCTTTAAATACAGATGTATAGAAAGCCACGTTAGAGATGACATATGTATTTACTTCAGAGGGGAACAAACTGATAGTTTGTTGATATTGTCTTTAGGACACCATCTACCTGCTTTGCAAGTCGTGGTTAGAACAAGAAAAAACAAGAGTAAAAGAGAGGCAAATCTCCACTTGTATAAGAACAAAAACACAGGGTAGTTTGGCCACCAAACAAATGAAGTAAACTTTTGGAAATAACATCACAACTTATATTGAAAGATACCATGAACTGTTAAGAAAAAGCTTTTATAAGATGCCTCTGTGAGGAGATTTTTGGAGATGCTAATCACTGAGGCTCAACAAGGACTCCACCTCTTCTTTTTCTTTGAGTAGAAAGGCTCACTCTAATTCGGTATTTACTGCAAATTCAGAGACCTGAGTAAATATGAGAGATTAATCCTGTGGCAACATGCATACAAGGATACTTTTTTCGGTCATTTTCTTTAGATGGTTACTTCATGTCTTCTCCAATGCAGTCAATTTAATCCAGTCAACTGGCGAGTTTGAACTGTACCTCTAAGCCAACAAGCTTGCAGGGATTTTTCGTTCTTTAACAATTAGTCATCTTTTCTGATTATCATTTTCAAAATTTTTGGGATAACCAAAACTTTCATGCAAACTGTAGATAAAAAAGGAAGATGAAAGAGTGCATTACAAAACTTTCATCCTAAACTGTAGATAAAAAGGGATCGATAATGTCGCCATAGGGAGCTACCCAGAAACAAAATTGCCTTGTTTGGATTGCTTGTTTTCGTCGAAAAATATTGCCGTTTTTCGTGATCACATTTCCCTATCACTTTTTTCTTTCACATATATCAAATCGCTACAGTAATTTTTTTATGAAAAATGGCGGAAAATGCATTCCAAACACAACCAAACTTTATCATCTGGATAATGTAATGATAGATCAATTGGGCGAAATGGTACTATGCTTTTCTTTTTAAGATCATAGATGCCTGTGTCATGACGGCCATAGGGACATTTTTGGGAGTGAATCTTTTCAACGTAGTCATCAGCGAAGTAGATAGAATTGGGCATCAGATGACGATTTCTCTTGGTAGACAAAACAAAGGAGTGATTCCATCCCAAAAAAAGCACGCGATCCTCAAGACTTTCGAAGAGTTTCAAACTTTTACTAGCAAAATCAAACTTATAAACATCAAATCTTAGGGTCTTTTAGGGGAAGATATCGTCAGGATCTTCATCGATGAATTGATGGTGCCATCCTGACAGATATGTTCAGCATAATGCTTGATAACCAATAGAAGATCCCCCGATGGCTCATCCAGTACCAAGTATCATCTATTCTTGCATTGATCCCTCGAGTACTTTTTCTCGTGGCCTGAATGTGGGATAAATCCAGTTATATGCCAAAGTCCATTTCTTGAGTTGATTAAAGTGATTATCAGGGAAGTCCCAAGCTTCAATAATGCCCTCTTCAAGACCAAATGTATAAAATGTCTTGTGCCTATCAGAATAGACCAGCTGATCAGAAACAGGGGTTGGAATCCTCCTAGATTGTCCACTTGTGGTCTTGAGCAGGTCTCAGAAGGCAAGTTTGGTGGCTTCAGGAGGACCCTGAACTGCCATTACTATGCAGTTTTCAATATCCTCCTTAGGGTCTGATGATGAGAACACCAAATTTCTGACAATTTACTGACTCAAAACATCAGGAGTGCGGTATTCCCAAGAATCATTGGGGCCATTCAGAACAACAGTTGCTACCACTCTTTCTGTCTAATTATTCCGAAAACGGGTCCATTCGTTCATGCGGCTAAACCAAGGAGGTAATTCTATCGAAGGTAGTTCAATGTCCTTCGACTTCCATGCCTGTAAAGATACAAGGAGCAATCACGAGGGCTTATAAGG